CCAGCAGGTTGAGGCTGCGGTGGCCGGGAGTGTGCCATTGCACTCCAGTCTGGGCGACAGGGTGAGACTCCAACTCAAAAAAAAAAGAAAGAAAGAAAGAAAAAAGAAATGATGGATGATGGAATGAGAAGAATGAGAGAACGAGAAGGACATGGTTATTGTGAATGTAGGAATAAGGAAAGAAAATGCCATGGAAGCTAGGATTAGGAGAAAAAGGTGAGATAGAGGTTAAAATTTTTAAAAAGTAAGGAGGGTGGTTATGATGCAATAAACAGAAAGTTGTTTCTGGAGTGATGAAGAGAAATAATGCAGGCGTAGCGAACTGCAGCCCCAAACTCTGAGCGAAGTTTCTCCGCTGCTGTCGCAGTGCCAACACTGTGTCCTCTCCCCTCTGACCTCAGGTCTATGGGATGTTTCCATTCTGGTATGGTCAGTACCCCTATCAAGTGGCTGAATACGATGAGTGTCCAGCGTCCGGCCCGTGGGACTCCCCTCAGCCCCTCGTGGATCCCGTGCCTGAAGGGCGTTCAAGCCAGCGTTCCATGATCTGGAGGCCCTGGTTCTCTGCAGGCGTGGACCTCTTCAGTTTCTTCCAGGTAGATGTTCTTACCCGTTTTGTTCTTATGGAAACAAGGGCAGTGGGGGCAGCGGCAAAGGAAAGCCCACGTCTAAGAAAGCAGAGAGGTTCACATGGGCATGGACAGGAACCAAATCCAGAAAGAAGCTTCTGACATGTATGGTGGCCTCTTTTGCCCTTGTGCTGGAAGACGCCCAGCATTGGAGGAGAACACGGTGAGAAACTGTAGACCCGGTCATCCTCTTTCTGTGGTCCCCATGGGAACAGTCAAGAAGGAAAGTTAGGGAAGGTAGACCAGAGGTCTCTTATCACTCTTATAAAGAACATGTTGCATCTATTCTATGAGCCAGAATTTGGAACGTTCTGTGACCCAAGTCTAAGCAGGAGGTCTCTGAGGTCAGGAACCAGGTCCTGTTTATCTTTGTATTATTTCTTATGCCTGACCTCTTTTTTTTTTTTTTTTTTTTTTTTGAGTTGGAGTCTTACTCCTTCGCCCAGGCTGCAGTGCAGTGGCACGCACGCTCATGGCCACCCCAGCATCGACCTTCTGGGCTCCAGCAATCCTTCCGCCTCAGCCTTCCGAGTAGCCCGGAACTACAGGCGCATGCTACCACACCCGGCTATTTTTTATTTTATTGTAGAGAGGAGGTCTCACCAAGTTGCCTGGGCTGGTTTTGAAGCCTGACCTCTTATAATGCCCATTGTATTTTTGTTGAATTGATTAAGTTGATATGGTCCCTGCCCTCAGAAAGTTCAGTGTGTAAGTCAAATAATAAGGACACACAGTGACTAACATTTGGAAGAAGTGTTCAATGTGTTCAATGATGAACTAAGTTTAACTTAAAGCCTTTCTTACCAGCTGGAACAGAAGTGAACCAATCTTGATGGCTGAGTACTGGGTAATGGTTACTAGTATCACCAATAATAAAAGAATGTTTTGTTTCAGTCCTTTGAGGGTGGGATTCCTGGGCAGTAGCCCTTGTAGAGGGGCAGGGACCACCTTAACACTTCTTTCTCTGGTCTCTCTGGTGCCTTTCAGGGTATGGGCCTGAAAATACTATCCAATGCCAAAATCAAGAAGCCAGTAGACTGCGGTCACCCATCTCCCAAGTACAGCACCGCCATGGGCGGAGGTAAACCACCGCTGCGGTCTGTGGGTTCTCTGAGGTGTTTAGCGTCTTCGAACGCTGAAAACCCCCTCTTTGCCTTCTGTTCTTGCACGGAACCTCTAGCCTCAGAATGCTAATGGTTGTGGGTCACAGAGGCTGGAGCTTCCCCAAGGGTTTTCGCTCTGGGGCAGCTTATGGAGCCTGAAGCCCATATCTTTCATTCCCTGGCCAGACTTGCTTGTCCGCCACTTCCCCGATGACCTTTGTGACTAGTCAGTTCTCTGGTCCTTCTTCCTTGTCTGACTGGATGCCCTCTGCTTCCCTCTGAATTTCTTTCTAGCGGCCCCTCCACCTCAGTTCATGTCCCAACCGAGGCCTTCTGTTTTCCAAAATGCTCATGTTCTTGGTCTCGCCAGGAGGGAGTCGTGTTCGTCCAGAGGCTCCTCAGTCGTCATCTTCATCGCTTCCAATAGAAAATTCTCAGGCCCGCCAGTACTTCCCAGAGACCTGGCTCTGGGATCTGGTTCCTGTTGGGTAAGTAATGACTCAAAAGGACATGAGATTTTATGGTACAGAGAAAACTCAGAATCAGATCAGTCCTAGTGGATCTAAGTCTAAAGCCAAGAAAGGTTGCTGGGGTATGGGAACGTGTTTCTTTCCCTGAATTCTTATACAATCATATATAATCACTTAAAAAAAATTCCTGGGCAGGCCTAGTAGCTCACGCCTATAATCCCAGCACTTTGGGAGACCAAGGTGAGAGGATTACCTGAGCCCATGGGTTCAAGGCCAGCCTGGACAATTTGGTGAGCCCTCATCTCTACAGTAAATCAAAAAATTAGATGGGCGTGGTGGCACATGCCTGTAGTTCCAGCTACATGGAAGGCTGAGGCTGAAGGATCACCTAAGCCCAGCAGGTTGAGGCTGAGGTGGCCATGAGTGTGCCACTATACTCCAGCCTGGGCGACAGAGTGAGACTCCAACTAAAAAAAAAAAAATTCACACGTCTTCATATTCACACAGTGCAGACTGCGCATTCTCATTCTAGATACACACAATTTTTTATGGAAGTGAGGTCTAACTCACCCAGGCTGAAGAATAGTGACCATCATTATGACTCATTGTGGTCTCAACCTCCTGGGCTCAGGTGATCCTTCCGCCTCAGCCTCCAAAATCTCTGGGACTACAGGTGTGTACCACCATGCCTGGCTCATTTTTTTGTAGAGACTATGTTGGCTAGGCTGGTCTCAAATCCCTAAGCTCAACAATCCTCCAGCCCCGGTCTCCCAAAGTGCTGGGATTGCAGGTGTGAGCCACTGCATCCGGCCTGAGATCCACACAAACTGAGGGGCACATATTGACATAAGTTATTGCCCACTGCTTATGTGCTCACTTAGATACACCACCAGAACACACATCCTCACAGATGCAGAGGGCACTGGCCTCTCTTTCTGATACGTGTGTCCACAAGTGTCCCCATCCATACGTAGCCCTCTGCACGCCCCCTTCTCCCATATGTGGACACCCTTCCTCACCTGAGGATTCACCTGGGATTTGCATGTGCCCTCGGCTCCCTTACCTCTTTACTTTTCCCTACACAACCACAAAACGCACTTCTGTAGCAGAATTTGTAGCTTAATTCCCATAAGCTCTCCTCCCGGCGCCTCTGCCTCACGCGGGTTCTCGTGTTCTCACAGTCACTCTGGGAAGGAGGTGGTCCCTGTCACGGTTCCTGATGCCATCACCGAGTGGAAGGCTATAACTTTCTGCACCTCTCCATCCAGAGGCTTTGGTCTCTCGCCCACTGCTGGACTAACTGCTTTCAAGCCGTTCTTTGTTGACCTGACTCTCCCGTACTCAGTAGTTCGTGGGGAATCCTTTCGTCTGACTGCCACTATCTTCAACTATCTGAAGGACTGCATCAGGGTGAGAACGGGGCATACAGGAAGCAGCTGTCAGTCCTGGAACCCACCCACCCCCCAGCTTGTTCCTGATTTGGTAGCATACCGGGTTTTCCCTGGGAAGGAGATGAGATGTTGGCATCTCAGCCCCCAAGCTCCCTAGGCCCCTGAGTGCTGTCTTTTTTGCTCACACCCTGTCTCTTGAATACTCTCTTCAGGTTCAGACTAACCTAGCTAAGTCAGATGAGTACCAGGTGGAGTCTCAGGCAGAGTCTCAGGCCTCCAGATGTCTCTGTGCTGAGGAGGCAAAAACCTTCCACTGGAATATCACAGCTATCAAACTGGGTAAGGAAGGAAAGCGGCGATGGGTGAGGAAAGTGCGGAGTGAAATCTCCGTGATGAACTCTATCCTTTCCTCGACTGCATTTGCTTTGCTTTTGCCTGCTCCCTCTGACTTTTCTTCTTTTGAGTCCGAGTCTCGTTCTGTCACTCAGACTGGAGTTCAGTGGCATAATCACCATGCACCGCAGCCTCAACCTCGTGGGCTCAGGTGATCCTTCTGCCTCAGCCTCCCAAGTAGCTGGGACAACAGATGCATGCCACCACATCCGGCTAATTTTTTTATTTTTTGTAGAGATGAGGTCTCGCTATGTTGCCCAGGCTGAGACATCTCTTACTTTTACCCTATCCTCGTCATTAGATGCGAGTCAATCCAACTCACAGTCACTGGGAGGGTGTTATACAAAGATGTAAGTATCAGGATACCCGAGGCTACTTACCATACTAGATCGCATCACTAGCATCACCTGGGAGCTTGGTGGAAATACAGAATATAGGCACCACCCCAGGGCTACAGATCAGAGTTTGCATTGTAGTTTGTGTGCCTTTAAAGCTTAAGAAACACTTGTCGGCTGGGCTCGGTGGCTCAGCCTGTAATCCTGGGCTTTGGGAGGCTGAGGTGAGTGGATTGCCTGAGCCCGTGAGTTCGAGACCTGCCATGGCAACCTGGCGAGACCTTGTCTCTACAATAAATCAAAAACTAGCCGGGCGTGGTAACACGCGCCTATAGTTCCAGCTACTTGGAAGGCTGAGGCGGAAGGATCACCGGAGCCCAGCAGGTCGAGGCTGTGGTGGCCAGGAGCATGCCACTGCACTCCAGTCTGGGCGACAGAGTGAGACCCAACTCAAAAACAACAACAACAATGAAAAACACTTGCCTAGTGCGCGCCTGCAGTTCTGGCTACTTGGAAGGCTGAGGCGGAAGGATCACCAGAGTCCAGCAGATCGATGCTGGGGTGGACATGAGTGTGCCACTGCACTTCAGCTTGGGCGACAGAGAGAGACTCCAACTCAAAAATAAAATAAAATAAACACTGATCAAAAGCGGAAAAGCCCTCACTGGCACCTCCAGCAAGAGGGCTAATGGCTTGTCTTCACCTTTTTTCTCCTCAGGTCGTGTTAACTTTACTGTTAGTACTAAGATTCTGGACAGCAATGAACTCTGTGGGGGCCAGAAGGGGTTTGTTCCCCAAAAGGGCAGGAGTGACACACTCATCAAACCTGTTCTTGTCAAGGTGAGTTTGCTGAGTCCTGGCAAACAGCCCAAGGATGCGCAGTGTCTTGCTATACCTGCTAGTTTCTCACCGCAGCCTTACTTCACTCCAGTCAGGCGGCTTCAGCTTTCTTCTTCCTTAGCCCCTAAGCTGTGCCCAACCCATGCCAGTGGCCTGTGAAGGTGCCTAACACAAAGCCTGACATGTCGCATACACTCCATGAATGTTCGTTTCTCTCATGAAAAATCCGTAACGTCATCTTAGTTGCTTTTTAAAAAAATCCCATCAGGAACCAATTGTTGCAGGGTATTGTCTGAACATATGAGGGGAGACCCCCCAAAAACCCAGAATTTATTTATAAAAATGATGTATTTTTTAAATATTTAAACTTCAGTCACCTTCCAAGTACTCTCCATTGGCTACAACATACCCATCGAGACGCTTTTTCTAGTGCTCAGAATACTTTTTGAACTCGTCAATTTTGATGTCTCTTAGTGCTTCTGCCGTTTCGCCTCTTCCACATCGGCAAAATATTCCCCCTGAGAACTTTTTTCATGTTGCTCTGGTTGAGATCCGGTGAAGAGGGAGGGTGGGGCACAGGAGGCATGCCGTTCTTGCTCAAAAATTGCTGAACACTCAGCCCTGGTGTGGGCAGGTGCGCTTGTAAATTTTGAAATGGGCAAACATGTTGAAAGAATCTCACCCCAACAAAAAAAATCACTGAAACATGACTCAGCCTCTCACAACAATGCTAGCTGGTGCACTGATGCCGATGGGTTCCTAGAGCACCAACCTGGTAGGAAAAGCTGGTATTACAAGGGCCTGCCCTCCAAAATATAATTCTGGGTTTTTCTGGGTCCCCCTTTATTTCCCGTCTCCCTCAGGGAGCGGCCTCTGGCCAAGTCTGGTCTCTGAAAGGTATGCATATTTCCAGTGTTGAGTGAAAAGCAGGTGACCAAGCAAAGCTGTAAAGCAATGTAGTTGGCACTCTTAATCAATGTAATTGTAAACACTGGATAGGAATTTGAGTAATTAATTTGATCGCTTTGATTATAAAACTGCTTACTGTACTGCCCCAAGGTGTGGATTCTTCACCCACCTAGCGCCATCAGTGCCTTCCTGTAAGTTTTAAAAAACCAGTGTCGCAGCCGGGCTCGGTGGCTCAGCCTATAATCCCGCACCTTTGGGAGGCTGAGGTGAGTGGATTGCCTGAGCCCGCGGGTTCGAGACCTGCCTGGGCAGCGAGACCTCATCTCTACAACAAATCAAAAAATCAGCTGGGCGTGGTAGCACATGCCTGTAATTCTGGCTACTCGGAAGGCTGAGGCGGAAGGATCGCTGGAGCCCAGCAGGTCGAGGCTGCGGTGGCCGGGAGCGGCCCCTGCACTCCAGTCTGGGCGACAGAGTGAGACTCCAACTCAAAAAAAACCAAAAAAAAACCAGTGTCTCTCCCTGCTGGACCTCTGGGTGACTTCTTTGGAATAGGTAAAGATTTCACTCAAGATCTCTCTTTGGGGTTACTACATTATAATTGTCAATCCTGCCTCTTGTAACTTGCCTAAATTTGTCTTTAGCTCTTGCCCTTGCTTAGAAAGAATTTTACAGAAAGGGATCATCCCTAGGTTGGAGTTCTTTGAGGCTTCAGTGAGAAGGTCCCTTCTCTCCATTCTGAGGGAAGTCCTGCGGACACAGGCTCTCATTCCCTCCCCCTTTCCTATTTCTTCAGTGCCACCTGCTCTGACATTCATCTTTGTTGCTTTTCCTTGTCCATGTGTCTCGTCATGCCAGCCTGAGGGCGTCCTCGTGGAGAAGACACACAGCTCATTGCTGTGCCCAAAAGGTGAGTGAACTCAGAAGGAGGCTGGAGGTGAGAATTCCCCTAGGCCACAGGGGATTTTCACAGGCAAAAGAAGGAATAGAGAGTCTGGGGTGTCACCCCTCACAGGACCCGTTAACCGAGAGGCAGTCTGAAGAAGAGAAAGTATCTAACAGATTGCAAGAGTATGACTCTCCTTGGAATTTATTTTCAGCAAAGATCACTATAAATAGGTTAAAGAAAAATCTGCCTCCATTCCACAGAAAACTCAGGGTACAGAAATCCCTGCCCTAGAGAAAGTCCCACAACTTAGGCCTGAGAACCCTCACGATTCCTGCCTTCTGTGGAGTCACCTATCCTCTGCCTCTCACAGGAAAGGTGGTGTCAGAATTCGTTTCCCTGGACCTCCCTGCGGATGTTGTTCCCGACTCAACCAAGGCCTACGTGACTGTCCTGGGTAAGCAACTACAGATTCTTGGCTCAGAGAGGAAGGAGAGGAAACAAAGGAGAAGCGATGAAGAAAGAAGAGTTTAAAAAAAAAAAATTTGAGCTGGAGTCTCACTCCTGCCCAGTGGCACAATCACGGCTCACTGCAGCCTCGTTCTCCTGGGCTCAGAGGATCCTTCTGAAGCCTGTCTCCCAAGTAACTGGGACTATGGGTGCACACTACCATGTCTGGCTAATCTTTTGATTTGTGTGTGTGTGTGTGTGTGTGTGTAAGACAAGGTCTCTCAATGTTGTTTAGGCTAGTTACAAACTCCTGGGCCCAAGCAATTCTCCCACCTTGCCCTCCTAAAGTGCTGGGATTACAGGAACGAGCCACTGTACCTGGCCAGGAAGAGCTTATTTTATACAGTGAGAAAATGCAATGTGTAGGTAACAGAACAGATGGGATTAGATATGTGCTCCAGCTAAAAACAGAAAGTAGTCTAGGCAGGAGGAAATTAAGGTCACTGAAGTTGGATGCATACCCGGGTTTAAGTAGTCTATACACCGTGTGAAGGGGAGACAGAATGTTTTTAGTAACTATTAACCAATGAGGAACTCTAGTTTAGGGAAGACACAACCACCTCTACAATTGGCAGCACACTTCACTCTTTTAGGCAAGGAGAGGAAGTGAGTAGAAAAACACGAACTTGCAAATCATAACCAACCTGCCATAAAATAGTCGTGTGGCCCTGACCAAGTTAGTGAGCAGTTCTGAGCCTTCTTTCTTCTTCTGTGAAACAGTGATAATAACTCATCTCTCAGGATTGGTGTAGAGAGTAAATGAAATATAAGTTTCCAATATGGCGTCTCACACATAGCAAGAGCACAAGGAAAGCAAGGTTCTTTCTTTACTCCCTCACTTTTTTCTTTTTTTTTCTTTTTTTGTTTTCACTCTGTCACCCAGGCTGGAGTGCAGGGGCACACTCATGGCCACTGTAAGACTCAACCTGCTGGGCTCAGATGATCCTTGGTCCTCAGCCTGCCAAGTAGCTAGAAACACAGGAGTGCGCCACCATGCCCAGCTAATTTTTTGATTCATTGTAGAGACAAGGTGTCACCAAGTTGCCCAGGCTGGTCTCAAACTTCTGGACTCGTGCGATCCTCTCGCCTTTTCCTCCCAGAGTGCTGAGATTACAGACATGAGCCACTGTGCCCAGTGTACTCCCTCTCATTCTACCAGGATTCCTCAGAGTCAGCACTTCTCTGTTCTGACTGCATTTTATTCGTAACTCGGATGTAGCTCTCATCTGATTGTACCATAGCTCATCGTCTGTGTCTGTCTTCCTCTCTGCATTGTGGGTCCTGGAAAGCAAGGCCCACAGCTTTTTCATCTCTGTTCCTAGTACGGTTCCTGCAACACAGTTGGCATTCAGGACATATTTATAGACTTGAATTGAGCCCAGTGGTTAAAATGCAGATAGACACGGATCACTAAATTCGAGCTTACTGGCTTAGGAAGTAAATGGAGGGGTCGTACTTGATAAAGAGTATCAGGATTGTGTGTTTGGGAAGAACTTGGTGCTTTGGAGAGTGAGGAATGTATAATTTATAGGCAGTGGAGGAATTTGGAGATTGTGTCCAAGTCTTGTAGGTTTGGTTAAGTCACTTATCAGCTCAGTGACACGTCTCCTTAAGCGCCCTGAGCTCTCTGCGATGGCCTGTGTCCCCCTCTGTGACCTCTATCACCTTACACACACCCAATATGATATTGCAGCACTACGTTAAAATCGTTTATAGTGAAATGTAGGTGTAATGTCCTGTATCTATCTCCCCTCCGACTGTGAGCTCTTTGAAGGTAGAGTCTGCATTTGACTCACTGTTGTCTCCCCAGGACACATAGTTAGGGCTCACTAAATCATAGCCAATACGTGTTTCGTTAAGGGAATGATAATAATTCCTAAGCATTCCTTCTCTCTCCCACCACTTTCTCACTCTCCCTTTGGATCCCAGGCGACGTTATGGGCACAGCCCTACAGAACCTAGACGGTCTGGTCCAGATGCCCCGGGGCTGTGGAGAGCAGAACATGGTCTTGTTCGCACCCATCATCTATGTCTTACAGTACTTGGAGGAGGCAGGGCTGCTGACAGGGGACATCCGGTCTCGAGCTGTGGGTTTCTTAGAGATCGGTGAGTTGGCTCCATCTTTATGGATTGATTGATTAATTGATTGATTGATTGAGTCGGAGTCTCACTCTGTCACCCAGTCTGGAGTGCAGTGGCATGCTCACAGCCACTGCAGCCTTAGCCTGCTGGGCTCAGGTGATCCTTCCACCTCAGCCTTCCAAGTTGCTGGAACTACAGGCATGCACCACCAGGTCCTGCTAATTTTTGGATTGATTGTAGAGACGAGGTCTCACCAATTTGCCCAGGCCGGTTTTGAAGCCCTGGACTTAGGAAATCCTCTCACCTCAGCCTTCCTTCCAAAGTGCTGGGATTACAGGCATGAGCCACCGTGCCCAGCTGGCTCCATCTTTCTCAGACACCCTTCTCCCCAGGGCCTATGACAGGGTGATAGGGCACGAGGAAGTCCCAGCCCCTGAAGCATCCCAAATCCTCGAAAGGCTTAGGGGTGTTTTTCTGAAGTTGTCACTGTGATCTGAATCCACATCTGGCTTCCCAGGGTACCAGAAGGAGCTGATGTACAAACACAGCAACGGCTCCTACAGCGCCTTCGGGGAGCAGGATGGAAATGGAAACACATGGTAATATTGCCCAATGCCCAGAGAGTTCTGCACTCCACAGCACGATTCCTGAACCCTCTGGAACGACTCCTCTGCCAGTCTCCGAGTCCCATACCTCTTGCACTCAGTCTTCTACCTATTTATTTAGAGTCAGAGTCTCACTCTGTCAACCCAGGCTGGAGTGCAGTAGCACACTCACAGCTCACCGCTCACTACAGCCTCAATCTCCGGGGCTCAAGGGATCCTTCAGCCTCAGCCTCCTGAGTAGCTGGGACTACAGGCATAAGCCACCATGCTAGATAATTTTTTATTTTTTTAGTAATGAGGTCTTGCCATGTTGCCCAGGCTGGTCTCGAACTTCCGGGCTCAAGCAATCCTCCTGCCTCGGCCTCCCAAAGTGCTGGGACTACAGGCGTGAGTCATCATGCAGGGCCTCTTACTTCTTTCATGCTGTTTGCTTCAGCCTCCTGTTTAGCCCAAGCCTTTCCCTCTTCTCCCTGAGCTTCTACCTCCCCAGTTCTGGTCCTCATAATTTTCGCGAACCTCTCTCTTTTCCAGGCCTCCTATAGCGTCATGTTTCTTCAACTCCCCTCGGGGAGCCATACACCAGAAAAAAAATATAGAACTCTTGTACCTCCACCCGGAAATCCCCCTTCACACCCTGTTTTCCCCTTTGCCCCTGTAGGCTGACAGCCTTTGTCACAAAATGCTTTGGCCAAGCTCGAAAATTCATCTTCATTGATGACAAGAACATCCAGGTCGCTCTCAAATGGATGGCAGGAAACCAGCTCCCCAGCGGCTGCTATGCCAACGTGGGCAAGCTCATGCACACAGCTATGAAGGTGCGGATCTGCCCGGGGGCCGCAGACCCCTGTGTCGGGTGGGGTGGGGGGTGGAACTCACACCTCCGACTGAGTGGAAGCAAAAGCGGAAAAGAGCTCCGATCGGGGAATCAGTTTCTTCGGGTCTCAGTCCTGGCGCTGGGTGACCTTGGAAAATATACATAACCAGTCTGGGCCTCAGACCATATTCTCAGGCCATAATGTGAACACGGTCTAGAACATGGTTCTCAAACCCAGTGTCCAGAATAGGAGTGTTGGCATCACTTGGGAACTTGTTGGAAATGCACATTCTGGTTCTTAGCCCAGACACACTGAGTGAGAGGCTCTGGGAGCGCAGGCCAGCAATTTATGTTGAAACAAGCCCTCCAGATGATTCTTTTTTTTTTTTTTGAGTTGGAGTCTCACTCTGTCGCCCAGACTGGAGTGCAGTGGCCGCTCCCGGCCACCGCAGCCTCGACCTGCTGGGCTCCGGCGATCCTTCCGCCTCAGCCTTCCGAGTAGCCGGAATTACAGGCGCGTGCTACCACACCGGCTGATTTTTTGATTTATTGTAGAGATGAGGTCTCGCTGCCCAGGCGGGTCTCGAACCCGCGGGCTCAGGCAATCCACTCACCTCAGCCTCCCAAAGGTGCGGGATTACAGGCTGAGCCACCGAGCCCGGCTTGTTTACAACAAATTAATGAGCTAACTAGTTATATCTTTTTTTTTTTTTTTTTTTTTTTTTGAGTCAGAGTCTCACTCTGTTGCCCAATCTGGAGTGCGGTGGAATGCTCCAGCCACTTCAACCTCAACCTGCTAGGCTCAGGTGATCCTTCCGCCTCAGCCTTCCAAGTAGCGGGAACTACAGGTGTGTGCTACCATGCTTGACAAATTTTTTATTCATTGTAGAGATGAGGTCTTACCAAGTTGCCCGGGCTGGTCTTGAACCCATGAGCTCAGGCAATCCCAAAGTGCTGGGATTACAGTCTGAGCCACCGAGCCCGGTTGGTATACCAGTATTAACCCGACTTCACAGTTGAAGAAACTAAGGCATGAAAACTAAATAAATTGGGTGCTAATAAGTAGCAGGACTGAGATTTGAACCATGGCACTTGAACTCCAGGAGCATTGCTCTCACCCATTCACTATTGCCTATATCCGTCCCAAACACAGGGTAAGGCATAGCTGCTGCAGGATAACTTGTTCAGTTCAGAGCACACTCGGTAAAAGGAAGAGTTGCGCAAACTTTTCTAGAGAAACCATTTACATGGCTATTCCAGGGCCTGGATTAAAAGTCTTGAGCATTTGGGAAAAAAAATCTCTTTAGAGGATTCATTCATGTTCCTCATGCAGGATTTTATCAGCCTTCCCCAAATCTTCTCTTCTACACTGTAAAATATACCTGGGAGGCACAGGATAAGACTAGAGAAGATCCCAGAGATTTTCTTCTTTCTTTCTTACCAGAGCTGGCCAGTCCATTAAGAAACCCATCCTGGCTGGGTGTGGTGGCTCATACCTGTAATCTTAGCACTTTGGGAGGCTAGGTGAGAGGATTGCTTGAACCCAGGAATTCACAACGAGTCTGGGCAACATGGTGAGACCTCGTCTCTACAAAAAATCAAAAAATTAGCGGGCATCACAGCACTTATCTGTAGTCCCAGCTGCTCAGGAGGCTGAGATGGGAGGATCTCCTTAGCCCAGGAAGTCAAGGCTGCAATGAGCCGTGGTTGTGCCACTGTACTCCAGCCTGGGTGACAGAATGAGACTCTGACTCAAAACAAACAACAACAACAAAATCATCTTTGTGTAGCCAAGGTTAATAGTTTGGCGCACCAGGCTCTGTGGCTCAGCCTGTCATCCTGCGCCTTTGGGAGGCTGAGGTGAGTGGATTGCCTGAGCCTGTGGGTTCCAGACCCACCTGGGCAGGCGAGACCTCATCTCTACAATAAATCAAAAAATTAGTGGTAGCGCGTGCCTGTAATTCCAGCTACTCGGAAGGCTGAGGCGGAAGGATCGCCAGAGCCCAGCAGGTCAAGGCTGCGGTGACCGGAAGCGGCCACTGCACTCCAGTCTGGGCGACAGAGTGAGACTCCAACTCAAAAAAAATAAATAAAATAAAAACTTCTTATCCTTTCTAACGCCTTCTCTTGGGTTTCTGTTATTATTATTATTATTTGTAGAGACAGGTCTCTCTAGGTTGCCCACGCTGATTCTCAAACACCTGGGTTCAAGCGCTCCTCCTGCCTCATCCTTCTAAAACGCTGGGATTACAGGCATCAGCCACTGGGTCTGACCGCTTGGGTTTCTTAACCATCTGCTCCACTGAAGACCCCATGCTACTTCCTGCAGGCTGCCGTGTATGGTTGTGCAGTGACTGAAGTCCCGCCTGTTCTCTCCACTCTGTGTGTCCTGGAGGCTTGGAGCTGCAGAGAGACCATGGAAAGCTTTTTTTTTTGAGTTGGAGTCTCACTCGGTCACCCAGACTGGAGTGCAGTGG